TCTTCAAGCTTCTTCACCAGCTCCAAGGAATGCCTAGCCAAGTTATCAGGGGAGAGGTGGCCCACAGCTCTACAAGCCGCAGCACGGACATCGGAATGCGAGTCTTCAAGCTTCTTCACCAGCTGCAAAGAATGCTTAGCCAAGTCATCGGGAGAGAGGTGGCCCAAAGCTTTATAAGCCGCAGCACGGACATGGAATTCGGAGTCTTCAAGCTTCTTCACCAGCTGTGAAGAATGCTTAGCCAAGTCATCGGGAGAGGGGCGGCCCAAAGTTTTACAAGCTACAAGACGGACATCGAAATTGGAGTGTTCAAGCAGTTCTGACCAAGCCTGGGCCATGTCAGGAGAAAGTTTGCCCAAGGCTCGAAATGCTGCAGCACGGACATTCCTCGCATCATCATCCAGCAGTTTTTCTAGGTCAAAGAACCTGATTGCTAAGTGGTGCAGAGGAAGTTTGCCCAAAGCTTCACAAGCAGTAGCCCGAACGCTTCTTTCCGGGTCATCTAGCTTCTTCAGCAGCAGCGAGGAATGCTGGACCAACTCATTGGGAGGAAGTCTGCCAAGAGCTTCACACGCTGCAGCGCGGACAATGACATCAGAGCTCTGCAGCCTTTTCATCAGCTGCACCTTAGCTATCGACCATCTTGCCAACTTTTTACTTTCGGGGTTGATGTGTCCTAAGTGGTTTTCTGATGTCTTCCAGAAGCAAAGCTCGTCAGGGCCATTGTGGGTCATCAGGTTAAGTCTCAACATGCTTGATCGAAGCTGCGAGATGTGGCGGCAGCCGGCTGAAGCCATCGAAGACCTGCGAGGTAGAACTTGTAGTTCAGTTGGAGGGATTTCCCAACCGCAGAAGTTTCAATACATGAAGCGCGCAATCTCTTCACAAGAGTGCGAGAAGAAGGCGCTCCTTCTTATCTCCTGGTGAAGCACATGAAAGAGGTAAAATCACGACATCCCAGCCTTGAGTAGCCAATACAAAAGATCTTCAGGTGGGAATGCATGTTGCATGCATTTCTGAAGCACCTGCAAACAGCAATGCATCTGGTGGAATCTAGGCCCGAAGAGCCTGCATTGCCTTGTTCCAAGCTGTGAGGTTCAGAAGTCTTTCGCGTGAACAAACCCCAGATCTGACCAGTTTTCTCAGCAGAATCACTTAATTTCACCTGTGCTTGGAGGGTGTTCAACCAAACTCGACGCATTTCACCAATTCCACCGATTTCCCCGATCCCTTCTGGCGCCTCCTTGGCCTCATTGCACATCCTCAGTGGACTCGAATCAAGCTCGCTGCTCAAGACCAGAGTGGTTTAGATAGACCCAGGGTACACCAAGCCAATCCGGAACAGTAATGTCAACTAACTCAGATGTGGTCTGACAATGCCTGCCATGGTCAAGGGCGTTTGTGGGAAGTCCATTTCTTCCAAGGTCATGGAAGCCTGAATTTGAGGCACTGCAAGGGTTGCCAATCAACGAATGCAATTCTGCTCATCTTGCAAAATGAGCAAGCCGTCTGCCAGAATTGGCGAAATTCCATGGACCTTGGAAAAACCTCATTGTTTCTGGTATTCGTGAAGGCGGTTGGCTTTCTTGGCACCTTCTGTGATTCTTTTGTTGTTCTTTCCAAAACTCTTGGTCATTGAGAACCGAATTCTGAGACTAGCACCTCAGAGAGAGAGAGGGAGGGAGGGAGGGAGGGAGGGAGAGTCTCCAATGCAAAACATAGCGTGGACTGTATAGGTCTTCAATACCCCAGTGTTTGCAATGATTTTCTCTGGCAAGCTACCCTTATTACTCTAGTAAGTAGTAGGGGGCCTCAATGGCGTTGACATGTTCGTCTCTTTCCCTGAGGAGGTGCACAGGATTGCTATTGCGTTGCCGGGCTGCATCTCTAAGTCGGGTTTGCCTTGAATCGCATGGATCAAGAATGCCGCAGCATGCACCACTTGGCAATCGTACCTGAAAGCAAGTCTTTAAAGGCTTGAGGAAGGCTGTGTTTCAACCTGGGCAAATAGACGCATCAGGAATGGGCTTGCATCATCTATAGAGGTCCCCAAAGTGGTCAAGGGCATACTTCAGACCAAAACAAACCAAGGCTGGAAAATGGTTGAACTATGTACGGTTTGAAAGTTTGGTACTTTTCATCCAAAAATGAGATGCTGATTTCAAACGCAATTGGCTTGGCCCTGCCTGCCGGCAGCAAACTTCTCCAGCAGCTGAAGGAGTTCTCCATCTTTCCAGTCCAGAGTAGGCCAGTGAAGACTTGTCACGAAATGAGGATCCGCATTTCGATACGGGCTGCACCTCGGCCAAACTTACCTCACAGTCTAAACTGGTATATAACAAAACACTGCAGAGTATCTGCTCTCAGCCTTAGGCCAACAGTAGAAGCAAGCACAAAGAATGCTTGTGACAGTTGAAACCTAGCTGTTCAGCTAAGATCATCTCATGGAGCGAGGCACCAAGTCTCATCATTGAGATCGCGATGGTTATTGAACAGTCGCACTTGCCATTCTTCCGGAGACTCGCCCTGCTTCTTCAAGAGTTTTGTTGCGATCTCGCGAAAGAAGGAACCGTTCAACCGCACCACCTTCCTTGGCTGCCAAGCACCAA